ACCTTTTTGTTGTTCTCTTCATAAGGACGTCTCCAGTTTTATTTGAGATTTTCTGAGATTGTAATATGTTTTCACAGTAATCTAAAATACACTTAAAAATTTGTTCAGAGCAAGGCTGCATAATATATTGTTTCAGCATCGATATCACAAAGTGCAAACATACAATAGTTACATCGCAATATCTGCAATGCAGAGTTGAGATTATAATTATAATTTAAACCATTTACGCTTAAGAAATTAGCAAATTTGTAGCTTCGATGGGCGACGCAGTGGCGCACTAGGTAGTGCTGTCACCTCACAGCAAGAAGGTCACTGTTTCGAGCCTCGGCTGGGTCAATTGGCATTTCTTTGTGGAGTTTGCATGTTTTCCTTGTGTTTGTGTGGGTTTCCTCCTGGTGCTCCGATTTCCCTCACAGTCCAAAGACATGCGGTACAAGTGAATTGGGTAGGCTAAATTGTCCGTAGTGTATGAGTTTGTGAATGAGTGGATGTTTCCTAGAAATGGGAAGTCTCAGTGATCCTATAAAAGATTTTGTTTGAGCACATACTCTTTAATATATTTTAATATAGAGAGGTCAGCATACTGTATGTTGTTTCATTTACACATTACAATCTATAATGACTGAATTATTACATTTATTTAATCCGTATTTTTAACATTTCTTCCTAAAAAGGTTATTCGAAACTTGAAAGCGGACACTTTATACTTGCATTTAATATGATTTCTATGTATTAAAAAATGACTTTTGTGAACTTAAATTCACCAAACTACAACAAAACGGGTCAGTATGAATATCTGACTATTATATATTACAATACAAAACTTCTACACTGTGAACAACCACTGCTGTAATATAACAAAAACAATAATACCGATTGACCAGATGACCATCTTTTGTTCTTTTGCTTCATCTTTTCATAAGACTACTCAGGATAAGTGGGGCATAATTGCTTAATCATCTATCATTAATATTCATCCATGTTAAAAAAAAAAAAAAAAAAAACAGCAGTTAAAATCCATGTTAAGGTCTAAGACAGAATGACATATAAATCCATTTAGATATTCAGTTTATTATCTTTTATATTATTTTATTGATTTTGAATATGTGTATTTACTTTATTTGGAGATTTCAATGTTTTCAAGTTCATGCTTTTATTATGCCTCTCATAAATAAATGTTTGTACAATGGCTTTCTTGTCTGTTTGTTTTTTCCCAGTTCGAGTGCTTTTCTGGCCTAGTATTTCTTTGTCAAAAGCATCTTGTTAAAACATAAAAAACACCAGACCTGAAATTTTTTTATCCACTTAAAATATTGACTGTACTGTATACAGTGTTATTTTACATTTGATTATTTTATTGCTCTACCTCAATACTGTTAGACTCTTTAAAAAAAAAGTTACAATACAGTACGTATATGTTTGTTTTAATGTATTAATTTATGCTCATAATTTCTTTTTTTATGCATATACACACCAAATCAATGTAAAATTAGGAATTCTCACCAAATAGTTATTATCGCAGGAAATTATATTTAAATTGCAATATATGTTGCTGAAATACAAAATAATGCAATGTCAGTTTCTGCCAATATCGTGCAGCCCTAGTTCAGAGTATACAACAAAATATCTTGACAGATACATTTACAACAAGAATCATTGGTGAGATCTAAAGACTTAAAGGATTGAAGTCTACTTTTACTTAGCCTTAAAACCAGTTTTGTAATATCATCATAGAATCATTGGTGAGATCTAAAGACTTTAAGGATTGAAGTGTACTTTTACTTAGCCTTAAAACCAGTTTTGTTATATAATAAAGTGATCCTATACTTATTCATTCTATATATTTAATATATAGATGGACATTTATTTAATCCATGTTTCTAGCTTTTTTTCTCCAAAAATGTATTTGAAGCTTGAAAGCAGACACTTTAAAACTCAAATTTAATAGGATTTCTATGCTTGAAAAACACTTTTGTAAATTTAATTTGGTTAAGAGAACAAAATGGATCAGGTTGAATATCTGACTATTATATATTACACTACAAAACTTCTACACTGTGGACAACCACTGCTGTAATATTACAATAACATTAATACCGATTGACCAGATGACCATCTTTTGTTCAATCTTTTTGTAAGACTACTCTGGATAAGTGGGGCATAATCGCTTAATCATTGATCATTATGTGCATATCCATCCATTTTTAAAAATCAGCAGTTAAAATCCATGTTAAGGTCTAAGACAGAATGACATATAAAGCCATTGAGATATTCAGTTTATTATCTTTTATGTTATATTATTCATTTCAAATAGGCATGTTTATATTACTTGGAGGTTTGAATGTTTTCAAGGGCATGCTTTTATTATGCCTCTCATAAATAAATGTTTGTACAATGGCTTTCTTGTCTGTTTGTTTTTTTCCAGTTCGAGTGCTTTTCTGGCCTAGTATTTCCTTGTCAAAAGCATCTTGTTAAAACGTGAAACGCACCAGACCCGAAATCAAAATGTTGTGACACAGCATTTCACAAAACAGGAGGAGCACTCTAAGGGAAATCGCCTCTTATCATGTGAAGCATCGTACTTGAAATGCTAAAAGATCACATCAAAGCAGCCACAGTAAATGAAGCAGAAAATACGCCATGACCAGAGCTCCCCCTACTGACAGAGAGAGGCACAGCCATCCAGTGCTAAACAATGCAAACCTGTTCACAGGCATGAAATACCCACACAGGATTAGACAGGCAATCCAAAGATTATGATTATCTCCACTGCAAGAGCTTTCGAATGGCAAAATATAGAAACAATTAACCAGAATTAAATGACTAAACACAGATTACCTGTTCTAAACATCAGCATTTAAGAAAAAAAGGCAATTTTGTTCATCCACAGAATTCATTAAACGCATCACATACAACTCAGACACATCTAATCCACCATAGGAGCAATGATGCGACAGAAAACACCTCGTAACCTGCTCTTAACACTTGATTCTGTAATCATGACATTTCAGCTTACCAGCGCTGTTCTTCATCTGGTTGTCATGGATGCAGTATTTAGCAGCCTCTTTTCACAGGGTATCTGTAGGTAATTAAACGGCAAGGAATGAAAGTTCAGAAGCACACTTAATCTATGCCTGTGCTGTTATATTAGTGTACTGAATGTTTAATATAGGCTGGTCAGCAAGACATATTGAAGCCAATTAAAATAAATAGGCTATTTCATCATACAAGATTTGTGAGCTGACTGAAATGCACAGTCGGGGTTATAATAGCAAAGATGAGTCTGATACGTTTTATTACACTTGCAAAGATTACTTGCTCGCAATATTGCATATTGTGTGCTAGCCACCTCAGTGATTTTGGAATTAAACAATGTGTAAAGCACCCCAGCAAGCATTTTTTTTTTAAAGATGTCTAACAGACGTCAAAACATAGTCATATTGGCTAAATCAAATCTAAATTTGGGCTATCAGTGTAAATCTAATAGACGTTTAAGAATGGGCCAAAACTAGACTAATCCTCAAATGAACGACTACACATATAAAGTCTGTCTAATCTGTCTATTTGACCACTAGTCTAGTTTTGGGCTATTGTTAGATGTCTATTAGATTTTCACTGACACTGACAGCCCAAGTTTGGCCTTGTTTTAGCCAAGCTGTTATCGTTTAGATGTCTATTAGACGTCTATTGAACATTATTGTTTGCTGGGACCTTGTTTTGAATGATGAAGCCTGATATTTGGTACATTAGTTTCTAAGGCCTCTAATTTATAAGCTTGATAAAAAAAATAAATAAAAAAACAGTATAATAATACAAAAAACAAACATCCTCATTCAGGTTGTTCAAATATGATATATGAGGAATTGTATCAGTTGTCATTGACATCCATAAAACAAAAATTGAAATATTAGGGCATACTATACTAAGTCAATGGTTTACAGTTACCAGCATTCTACAAAATACATTATATGTTCAATAGGGAAAAAAAATAATTAGTTTGTGGAAGTGAATAATTAAATTATAACAATAACAAAATTTTTTGTGGTAAACTATTTCTACAGATCACAATGACTTGATGGTCCATAGATGGTATCATGGACTCAAAATCTTGTTTGCAAAATGGGATCTGAACAAGCTGTACTAGCTGTTAATCTGTACTACCCACATTTGGACCTAATAAAGTAATTGATGTAAAGTTGGCTTTATATTCGTAAATTCCTTAATATTATATTTTTTAGAAATGTATTCTTTGCAAATTCTTATTATGTTAATCATATCAGCAGCCAAAGACTATCAAAGTACAACATTGTTTGTTCACAGTCAATTAAATAGTGCTTATGTTGTTTTGAAGTCATACTTGCATACGATCTAAGGCCGAATTATTCAAAGTACCGTTGTAAATTCTTAAGAAACTGTGTCACATATTGTCCCTGAATGAACGTGTAAAAATAAAACCAACTTTACCTTAATGATAAAGTGACCTAAAAAATTTATATAGCTTCATAAGAGAATCTGTATATTTATTGTAAGCAGGTAGGAATGCAGTCACTCATCATGAGTTAGATATGTTGTAAAGGTCTACTCAATTTTTTAGAACGTTTTCTTCATCATGTCAACCAAGCAACATCTAAGTATAGGCTATATATCTAATTTATAACATATAACACAGTAAATTAAGTCAAAGTATCATAGAGCGCACACATACACATAACTTACATACAAATTAAAACGGGTTGGGGCAACTGAAATTTGGTCACTGGCTTTCAATAAATACAGGCGTGTAACACAGACATGATGTCGTTACAAAAATAACTTAGTTTAGAAATAGGCCCAAATGTACAACTCCCACAATCTAACATCACAACAGGGAAAGCTGCTGAAGCAGAAGCAACAGCGCCACTTATTATATTCGTCTAGCAATGAAGTTATCCAATCAGAGAGTCGCGTTTTACAACGTCAGTGGCTTTTGACGAATCAATACACTTCTTGTTGCATAGACGCAACCTACCAGCGACAAGCTTGGCGACGATAAGTTCGGCTGACCCATCATCAGGAGGAAAGCAGGTATGAGACTGCGATGAAACTTGACTAACTTTGTGAAATATTACGAGGGTCTGATTGCAGATGAACCTGTCATGTTTTAGACAAATAAGTTAAGCTAATTAGCTAAACCCCATCAAACAAATCATACGTTTTTGGTTCGTTTTAAATACTGCCGTTATGTAGCGGATTAGCCACATTGTAGCTCAGGGATGATGATACAAATGTGTAGCTGTCAAAATACGTCTGTGAAGTTAAAGAACTCCTTTTGTGAAAATCAAGATCCTACATTTCAATCAAGATATTGTACATAATTTGTTTATTGTTATCGTTACATTATTTCATTTGGTTTCTTTTAGACTGGAGACAGAAAGTCAGTATTGCTCTATTCAAGGCTGCGCGTGCGTTTCCCCTGTTTTACAGCAGAGTCATAAACAGCCCCGTTCACCTCAGCCCCAGTGCTAAAATAGCGTCATTGTTCAGGATGCCCCAGACAAACAAGTTCAAATGTGCTGCAGCCAGCAGTCCGGCTCAATCTGCTGGTCCTGACCGTGGGGAACCAGTCAGAGACCCCAACGCACCTCCAGGGGACAGTGGTGGAGATGAAAACCAGGGAGACCCTCAGATTATCAAATCACCCAGTGACCCCAAACAATACAGGTAAAGTCCACGTGATTTAAAACGGTCACGTATATAATAAAATTATATTCACACATTCAGACTTTCTCCGTAATAATATAGTTTCAGAAAAGTATTAATTGCCAATTCATTCATTCATTCATTCATTCATTTATTCATTTTCAGTTTAGTCCTTTTATTAATTTGGGGTTGCCACAGTGGAATAAACCACCAACTTATGTAGCATATGTTTTTTGCAGCGGATGCCCTTCCAGCTGCAACCCATCACTGGGAAACATCCGTACACACTCATTCACACACATACACTTGGGACAATTTAGCTTACCCAATTCACCTGTACCACGTCTTTGGATTTGTGGGGGAAACCGGAGCACCCGGAGGAAACCCACGCAAACACAGGGAGAACATGCAAACTCCAGAATTGCCAACTGACCCAGCTAAGGCTCAAACCAGCGATCTACTTGCTGTGAGGCGACATCGCTACCCACTGCGCCACCACGCCACCCTTTTTGCCAATTTTATATTTTGAAATCATATCAGCAGCCAATGACTAACAAAGTACAAAATTGTTTACAGTCAATTAAATACTCCTAATGTTGTTTTGAAGTCATGCTTCCATGCTATTTCAGATAAAAAATAGCAAGTAGTGTGTGTGGTGAACCATATAGGGAGTGGAGCATTATAATGAATGAATGTTTGAAAATAAAACCAACTTTACCTCAATTATAATACACACTACCAGTCAAAAGTTTGTTGTCTGTAATATTTTTAAAATGTTTTAAAAGAATGTAATTCTGCTCACCAATGCTGCATTTGATCAAAAAATACAGTAAAACTTAATTTTTGATCTGTTGTTACAATTTTAAATGACAGTTGTCTTATTGATTGTGGTTTAAAATTTTGATTATTCCTCTGATACAAAGCAGAATTTTTATCATAATTTCTCCAGTATTCAGCGTCACACAATTCTTTAGAAATCATTATAATGATGATGATTTGTTGTTCTAAAAAAATCTGCTTTATTTAGATACAAAAGCACTAATAATAATTCTTACTGTGTTCAGTGCTGACATTTTTTTTCTCCATAGTATTGTTGAAACTGATACTTTTTAAAAATATGTTTGTCTAAAAAAGAAAGATAATAAAATAGCTTTTTTATTAATTAATTTTTCATTTTAAATGTGTTTATTTTCACTTTTCAACAATTTATTGTTATTAAAATGTATGTATTTTTATTGCATCTTTAATAACATTGTAACTACTATACTATTATATAATACTAATATATCAAACCAACAGACAATGCCCCTTTTAACAATGCAAGGCTGAAGAAAAACAGAATAAATTATTTATTTATATATATATATATATATATATATATATATATATACATACATACATACATACATACATACATACATACATACACACACACACACACACACACACACACACACACACAAATACATACAGAAATAATGAAATTATAATAAATAAATAAAAAAATAATTATATAAACAAAATTAAAATATATAAAGATAAAATAATGGTAAAATAAGAAACATAAATTAATTGAATTAAAGAAACATCACTAAAATCCAAGTAAGGCGTCCAGACTTGATGAAAAGCCTCAGTGGAAATGAATGAATTCTAAGGAATTCTAAGGGAATCATTTCCCTAATAATATTTGACCACCCTTTCAAGGATGGGTTCTTCACTGATCTAATAACAGGATTATTCCATAATAAGTGGATGTAGTCTCCCACTTTCTTCTTACATTTAACACACACTTGTGAATTACTTGAGTTAAACTTGCTACAGTTAATGTATATTTTAATAGTACTTTTGAATGATATTGTATCAGTTTATAATAAATGATAATAAAAGAAATAATAAATGTTTCTTTTTGAGCAGATCATGATACTAAAATATTTGAATTATTATGTAATGCTAAAGACTAATTATGCTTTAAAAAAATATCTGCTTTAACCCACAATTATTAATCGCATTCAATAAAATAAGAGTTAATTAATATTGCATTAACATTTCACAATTACTTATTTTTTATTGTTAAATAAATGAATCCTTTGTGAGCAGAATAAGCTTATTATAAAACTTTTAAAAAATCCTAACCTTTTTCTGCTAGTGTATATACTCTTAAAGTAACAAGTGAAACCTTTTAAAAGATCATTTTACATTATGAATGATACAGTATGTTGGCACTCGAGGATCGGGAAATATGAGATCGCTCTAGTAAAACATAAGCTCTCGTTGCATCTTTGAGTGTGTAACACAACACTGCATGTGTGTGCGGATGACTAAAGTGACCAACAGAATTTCTTTTTCTTCTTTTCATACAGATATATTGAGCTGAGTAATGGACTGAGGGCTCTGCTCATCTCTGATCTGAGCGGTTTAGATGGGAAAGCTGAAGATGAGGATGATGAAGATTCTGAAGAGGAGGAGGCGGAAGAGGAGGCAGAGGGAGAGGAAGAAGAGGGAGACTCGGGGGAAGGAACGGATGAGGAATCTGAAGAGGAAGGAGACAGTCAGGATAGCGATTTTGAGGAGCTAGATGAGGAAAGTGACCAGAAGAAGAAAAAAGGATCTGAAAAACAGGTTTGTTTTGAGATTACCATGCATGTTATTCAAATTAATTCTTCGTATTAAAGTCAGCATGAAATTAAAATGTATCTATTCATGTTTTATACTTTTTTGAGCTTTTCATCTTTATTATTCCAGGCTGTCATAATTTAATCTTTTGGTGAAGTAAATGTCTCTACTGGAATGCATTATGGATTTCTCCAATTGTTTCATCTGCATAAACTCATCCTCTTTATCACAAACTTGCATTTAGGTTTGCCTCTATCCAATCAGCCACTCCTAAATAAAACTAGTCTTTTTTGCTTTTCAATACTGAGTTTGTTTACATGACTACAGAAAAAAAAATCTTCACAGCTTGTTGTGTTCTGTGTCATTTTTGGATATTCTATAGTGAATGCATTATACAGTGCTGGTAGAGTAAATGAGTACATCCCCTTATTAAATTGAAATTTTTTTACTAATATCTCAGTTAATATAGGCAATGAATTTTAGTGCTGTTAATCAAAGGTTTTAGTAAACTGTTATATACATTAAAATAAGAGGTTTGTTCACCTAACATTTTTAGAAATAGAAAGATGATGCATTTAAAATTCAAATAAGTTATTGCAAGAAAAATTAAAAACTTCCAACAAAATTGTATGTTTTATGTTTCGCTTGATTTTTCCTGTTTGTTACAATTTTATCTTATTTGCTTTTCTCTTAGACATTATTTTGGGTGTACTTATTTTTGCACTGTGATCTTAAATCTTTTTAGATTTTTGCCTTTGATACTGACTAATCTAAAGTTTATGAACATTTTTTTTATTATAAAGCATCATATTGAAAATATTAATTTAAAAGAAAGGTCTGTGAGGGGTGTACTCATTTATGCTGTGCGCTGTACATGCAGTGCTCAGCATATATGAGTACACCCCATTTTGAAAATGAATTTTTATCCATTTCTCAGTGAATATGGATAATATATATTGGTGCATTTGAACAAACAGATTTATTAACAGATATATTTATTAAGATAATATTTTTGTCACAGAACATCTTTAGAAATGAAAAGATAGTACATTTAAATTCATGCAAAATATTGCAAAAAGGACAAACTACAACATTGTATATATTTTTGTTTCTTTTGATTTTTGCTATTTTTGAAAATTTTATTTAATATTTTTCTTTAACATAAATTTAGGCTACTAATTTTTGTAAAGTTATTTTATTGGATAAGCTCCAGATTTGGATTCAGTACTGACTAAACTAATGTATATGCACAAATATAATATTGTAAAGCATTCTATAGAAACATATTTGTTTAAATGAGAGATTTGCGGGGGTTGTACTCATATATGCTGAACACTGTACATTATATTAGGAGGTGTTTTTGTACATTTGCATTTTAAGATAGTGATTCTGTAAAATGTACCTATATATGATTTAATATCTAATATGGAGTATTTAAATTGACTTAATTTCTGTGTTTTTCTTTTAGTCCAGTTAGACAAATATGCCATATAATTTGTTTTCAATTCATTATTAAGAATAACTTTAAACTGTCCTTAACACAATGCCTCAATATACAGTATATAATTTTTTGTGCAGTTAACAGCTCTCTCTTCCCCCCCCCCCCCGTTTTTTTCTGCATTTAGTCAGCGGCAGCCCTTTGTATTGGGGTAGGGAGTTTCAGTGACCCTAATGATTTACCTGGCCTTGCACACTTCCTGGAGCACAGTACGTCTATTCTGCCATTACTCTATTCAATAGTACTTCAATCTCCATGATAATATTTCACTTGACCAAATCTCACTTCTTATATCTCAGTGGTATTCATGGGCAGCGAAAAGTACCCTTCTGAAAATGGCTTTGATGCATTCCTAAAAAAGCACGGCGGCAGTGATAACGCTTCCACTGATTGTGAGAGAACCATTTTCCAATTTGACGTGCAGAGGAAACGCTTTAAAGAAGCCCTTGACAGGTGAAGTAGCACTAAAGATGTGATCATATCGCCACTTATCTTGAGGGCCCTTTTTATTTTTTTGGAGTCAGAACAGATATATTTTACACAATACCTTTGAGCATTTTGTTTTACTAAAATCACTAACATAAAATCAAATGCATTTATACATGCACTTTGGTCTTGCATAACCTTTAAAGTGTCTTTGGGTCAATCATACTAAATTGCATTGTTTTTAAAAATGATTAAACACTTCCTGCTGCTGATAAATGGGTAAAACCAAGTGGTTTTATGCTTATTAGCAAAGCATGTCAAATTAAAATAATTAATTAGTATATTGAGGCTGCACTTGCGTCATCAAATGATATTTTTTTAATATGCCTGACATGTTTTTGGTTTATGATCTGTTGTTATAGTTGATAATATTTTAGTGACTGATTTCTAGTGACTGTTCTGTGAATCATTGTGAATATGTATAGCATGTTTTAAGGGTCCCGTAAAGTGCTTTAAATGTGCATTTTATATTTGATGTTTGACTTAATCTTAACTGAAAATAAAGAAAGGGTGGAACATAGAATAGCTCCTCCCCTTTTTAAATAATAGCCAATAGCTGCGTTTTTATCATAGCTTTACCAGGTTGAGTGTTTGTGCCGCATGTGCTCAACACGAACTAACAAACGCGTCAACTATAAATACTGTATGTTTAACGAGTTTTATATTTTCTATTAGCGAATTTGGTCATTGTTTTGAAGCATACTAGCTAATAGACATTCTTAAAATAAAAAGACTGATTTATATTATTCAAATCTCACAGAACCTTTAAAGCTTTATTGCACCTTTAATGTTTGACTCAATTGTCTTTTTTGTTTTATGTCAGATGGGCTCAGTTTTTCATATGTCCTCTTATGATTGAAGATGCCATTGATCGAGAGGTTGAGGCTGTGGACAGTGGTGAGAAAAAAAATGTAATTATAGATTAAAAGTGATCCTCATAATGCAGCTGTAAAGTGACAACTATGTGTTTGCTACAGAATATCAGCTTGCCAAGCCGTCCGATTCTCACCGTAAGGAAATGCTCTTTGGCAGCCTCGCAAAGCCCGACCATCCTATGAGCAAATTCTGTTGGGGTAAGTTAAACATGCAGCGCTGCTTCAGAGTAGCTATTTAAATGGTCCTGGACCAATAGACCTTTTTTTTTGTAATGGTAATGGTGATTGTTGAAGGAAATGCACAGACCCTAAAGACCGAGCCTAAGGAGAAGAACATCAATGTTTACAAGAGACTCCGTGAGTTCTGGAAGAGGCACTACTCTGCCCACTATATGACCCTGGCAGTGCAGTCTAAAGGTAGGTACAGTGCGAGGAATGTTACTTGAATGTGAAAATACAAATGATACTAAACTAGAAAACTGATCTTGTTGCTATAATATCTTAACAGAGAGTCTTGACACCCTTGAGGAATGGGTTAGAGAAATCTTTAGCCAGGTGCCCAACAAGTAAGCAGAACATAAGCATTATTTCAAGTTTTCTAAAATGCTAAATGAATAATGTTTAAAAGAATTTTTCAATGCATTTCAGTGGGCAGCTGAAGCCTGATTTTTCAGACAAGCTGAATCCCTTTGAAACTCCTGCCTTCAACAAACTTTACAGAGGTTTGTTGTAGAACATACATTATCAATCATCAGAGGTTTAATACAATTGTAAAAGTCACTTTTAATGATTTCTTGTTGCAGTGGTGCCTGTTAGAAAAGTGCATGCCCTCACTATCACATGGGCTCTACCACCTCAAGAAAAGCACTACAGGTAAAACAGTCAAGGTGGCTTTCAGCTATGCATTCATGTATTATAGATATCGAGTTGAAATCCAAATTATAAGTCTCCTGTCAAATGTTAATTCTTTTTCAAATGTTTCTCAAGTGTTGTTTAACAGAGGGGCCATGATGACTTTAGATAATAGACTGTAGATATAATTTTGTTTTCCGCTTAGGGCTTATCCAGGTTAACTAGGCAAGTTGGATAAATTAGGCAAGTCATTGGACAACAGTGATTTGTTTTAAAGCCATTTGAATAGTTATTTATTTTTTAAAGATTAAAAAACTGCCTTTACTCCAGCCAAACCACATAAGACTTTCTCCAGAAGACAATGATATTTGAGAAAATATTGTGAATATTTGCTCTGATAATTATCAGTATTAGAATATTATATCACTAATAATTGAAAAAGACAAACATATTTGGCTAATAAATTGGGCTTTAACTGAATATACATATTTTTTTTAAATACTGTGATCCATGTTAGGGTTTAGAGGAGGGATTTTACAATGTGTTTTTACTGTCTGACATTCTTAAATAGTCTTTGAAAAGGTGATACATTTATTAAATTGAAAACAGTTTTTATAGCAGATATGTTCACAAGATACCCCCGTGAAACATTTTGTTGAGTATTAATATTAAGATTTTGTTGGTACTTCAAATAAGATTCATATTCAAAGCTCTTTATGTCGATCCACAGGGTCAAACCTCTCCATTACATCGCTTGGCTGATTGGCCACGAGGGAACTGGAAGTATCCTGTCAATGCTTAGAAGAAAGTAAGTCCTTTCACGCATAATTTAGTTTTATATTGTAGCAATGTTCTGCTTTCCAGCTAAGTGACCTCTAAATTGAGCATAGTTTGGTATTGGGCTTACTTTTTGTGCATAAACTGTAAAACCATATCTCTGTCTGTGTCTAGGTGCTGGGCTTTGGCTTTGTTTGGTGGAAACAGCGAAACCGGTTTTGATCAGAACACCACATATTCAATTTTTAGTATCTCCATCACACTGACCGACGAGGGCTTCCAGAACTTCTATGAGGTCTGTTAGGGGCACTAACAGTCTAAAAACTGCATTGCTTTAGATTTTTAGCAGCCTACACTACTTGTGCATGTCAGAAAGTATGCACTGCGGTCGCAAACATCTTTAAGATATAATATTCTTTTCACGCTTAATGTCTTTATAGAAATACAGGGGTAAAGCAGAGAAGCGAACAGCTTTGCTAGATGTGTGTAAAACAGGATTACAAAGCCTCTGAGGCACAAACACACCCCTTTACCATCCTGAATTATAACAGACACAGTTTCTGTTAAGTTCCGTCCCACTCAAAATGAATGTTTATGCTAATTTGGATGTTTTTTTCCTTCATTCAGGTTGCTCATCTCGTCTTCCAGTACTTGAAAATGCTTCAGACTCTTGGGCCGCAACAGAGGTAGGCTCTTTATGTGAAGTGTGCTGCTAGACTAGACGAGACGTCAGTTTAAAAGTGTCTTTGCAAAACTTTTGCATGCACTGAATGATGTAGCTTGAAAAGCATCACAATATGTATTTTATTTATTTTTGTTTTTCACAGAATATATGAAGAAATTCAAAAGATTGAGGCTAATGAATTTCACTATCAGGAGCAGGTAAGAGAAAATAGTTTAGTCAGCTTGTATAAATGGAAGGATGTTTCATTCTTGATTGTTGGTGGTGTTTCCTGTTGGAAAGAGGTAAAATTTGTAATGTTTACTGTTGATCATCAGTTGGCAGCACAACCCCTTTAGATTTAAAAAAAGTTTCGGGCTTTTATATGGAGTTTATTTAGCGTAAAACAGCAGATTGCATAAATACATTTACTATTTGGGCTGTTTGATTAGTCGAATCGCAATTGCGATTTGACACGTGATTGGCTAATCGCAAGAAGCTGCGTCTTGAAATATACATTTAATTTCCCCTGCCCAGAGCAAATATGTGACTGCCGTCTGTGTGACAGTCTTACTAACCAATTGAGTGGGCACACCTTAGTTCTGCCCAATTACAATTGCGCAGCCAAATGGAAAGCCCACAATAAAACAAGCAAACAGGAAAGCGCGGACAAGTGGGATGATGGCGTCTGCTGCTTCAGACGCATTAACAGACAAATTAATATCAAAGAATAAAAGCAAGTCGGTAATATGGGAATATTGCAACCAGCAACCACCAGCACCTAAAAAAGCACCAAAGGCGATCATATAAGGAGTGTATTGCTAAACAATTAACTGATAGTATTGCCAGTGACACTCAATCTAGTAGCATACAACAGCAAAGTACAATTTTTAGAGTTGTTTGCACCAGGAGATAACTAACGCCATTACTCACTACTGTTTGCTCTAGAAAGAAATTTGTTTAATTTCTTTATATTTTTAAACAAATTTTAATAAAAGTTGAAGTAATTTAATATCTTCAGTTTCTTTTTTAACTAACACTCACTGCATTTTAGCAGTAAGAAGCCATGATACAGATTATTGAGCTGAAGCTTGACTACAAAATCAAATCGAAAAATCGTGTTTTATTGAATTTTTTTTTATTTCAAAGCATTTTCTCAAAATATGTGTCAAAATAAGATGTCACCAAAATCATTCCATTTGCTGAAATACAGAGAAAGTTGTGGCCAAATTAAGACCCAAAACCATCCCAGAGTGGATGAAAATATCACCAACAGCACTCAAGGGTTAAAGGGAAATGGTTCTGAGTATTTGTGTGTTAAATTACAGTATTGCTTTTACAGACTGATCCTATTGAGTATGTGGAGGACATTTGTGAAAACATGCAGTTGTTCCCAAAAGAGGACTTCTTAACAGGAGACCAGTTAATGTTCGAGTTCAAACCAGAGGTAATTGCCCTTCATAGGCACCACAGATTTTAATTTATTACAGCTTTTTTTTCCCTCTTTTTTTTTTTTTGACATATTTGTGCTGTTTTAGCTTGCCTCCTTTATAATTGTGCTTTATTCCCTTAGGTTATCTCTGCTGCATTGAACCTCCTCACACCAGAGAAGGCCAACTTGCTGCTTTTGTCCCCTGAGCATGAAGGCCAGTGCCCTCTTAGGGAAAAGTGGTTTGGGACTCAGTACAGCACAGAGGGTTTGTACTTGTTTTCAGTTTTAATTCTTAGTTCAGGATCAGAAGATAAAGCTGTCAAGTTTAAAACGTCATGCACAATATGAATATGATCTTTTGTAGAAAATCTTAGAATCTTTGTGTCTGTACTGTCAGATTATTAACGCTCTAGTCAGATTAATTTGCATAATACAGTCACTAGAGCTGGAGATGTAAATCTGATGCCAAAATTAGGAAGCAACCCCGGCTGTGTGGGAGTGTTTTTGTTTGAAATATGATAACCACAATAAGCGACAGCCCATATTTTTAATATCAGCAAGATCGTAGGTGGATACTTTGAAGAGAGATGTATTCAAGCACATTAACTGTTGCTGTTTATAAGCATAAAAATATCTAGCTCTCCCTCTTCTTCTCGTAATTAATCTTAAATGGTTATTTAACCTCTTAAGGCCCAAGGTGTTTTTTACATGCATTTTTATTTCTCTTTGCTATTTGGGCTTATTGGATCCAAATTAGAATAAAAACCTAAGTATCATCTTTTGATATGATGTACTTTAAAAAAAAATTTACTTTTAGAAAGAATTATGTCCATATATGTGGACTTATGGTACGGATTTACATAAAACACTTTTCCCTGACTGTTTTGTAATGCATATTTCACATAGAATTTTTTTTTAACATGTTTGTAATGTAGTGTAATGTGTATTTATATAGCGCATTTATTGTGTGTGGCCAAATACCCAAAGCGATTTACAATCCTGAGAGAGCTCTCTCCACACTACCACCAGTGTGCAGCATTCACTTGGATGTTGCATGTTTTAACTATCAAAGAGTAATAACAATTTTTTTTTTCCATTTTGGACAGTTAAAATACAGTGTTTGGGACGTTTCATATGCTGCAAAACAGTTGCAGGATGACACTGTGTCTGTAACAAAATATAAAACATTTAAAGTATTTTAAATAGCCACTTAAAAGCTAAAATGTGCTGTCCATGTACAGTATGTGGCCACTAAACCCTAGGAGGTTAATGCTTCAGTGTGTATGTATGTATTTTTTTTTCACCTTCGTGTCATTCCAAACCCAAAAGAAATTATTTCATCTACAGAAGACATGGGGAATATATTTATAGTTAAATAGACAAATGTTTGTGTTTTTTTTTTTTACCAATTACTTTAAAATGTTCATAAAAGCAATATGAATTGAGCAATTTAATCTTAAATAGATGCATTCACTATTTTATTTAATTTGAGATATTATTCACATATAAACACTGATCAGCGAACAATGAGCATTTAGATTTGGTCATTTTGGTGCTTGCTTAACATAAAAAAAACAATGAGGTTCATTGTTCAATATCATACCAAAATGTGTGAATCATTAAGGCTTGTTTGCTCGAGTTAAAGATTTTAATGTTTTTATGATTGCTGATCATTGTTTATATATGGATAAACCTAAAACGAAGTCTTGGTTTATAGTTAACTCCCATTTCTTTCAAATTTGATTCAAAATGTCTTTTATTTAATGTCTACCTATTTATGTTCTGAAGATGAATGAGAGTTGAATGGGTCTGGAATAACATGAGGGTGAGTAAATAATGTGATCATTTATTTTATGGAGAGGTTAGAGCAGGGGTGTCCAAACTCAGTCCTGGAGGGCCGGTGCCTTGCAGAGTTTAGTTCCAACTTCCTTCAACACACCCGCCTGGAAGTTTCTAGTATATCTAGTAAGAGCTTGATTAGCTGGTTCAGGTGTGTCTAATTGAGGTTGGAACTAAACTTTGCAGGACTCCGGCCCTCCAGGACCGAGTTTGGACATCCCGTGGGTTATAGGATATTTTACGCTTAAAAAGCCAGTCTATAAATGGATGGTCTATTGATAGACATCAATGCTGAATAATTGTTACAGAATGTTGTTTGCTGAAAAGACATGTATTCTTAATCTTGATTGATGACAGAATTTTTTTGTATAAACTATGCAACTCCTGACAGCCAAACTGTCTTCTAAACCAATGGTCTCAAACTAGATTCCTGGAGGGCCGTAGCTCTGCACAGTTTTGCTTCAAACCTGATCAAACACAGCTGATCCAACTAATCAAGGTGTTCAAGACTACTAGACACTATTAAGCAGGTGTGAGTTGGAAGTGGTTGGAGCTAAACTATGCAGAGCTGTGGCCCTCCAGGAATAGAGTTTGAGATCGTTGTTCTAAACCATGTTTTTTGACTTCTCTTTCAGACATAGAGCAGCACTGGAGAGAGATCTGGGCAAAAGATTTCGATTTAAATCCCAGCCTTCACCTACCTGCTGAAAATAAGTTCATCGGTGGGCATTCTTGATAGGTGTCTTTTGGAGTTGTTGACATATACTGTATTTTCACCGTTTGCAGTTAGCATTGATGTCTCTTTTCACCTCCAGCCACTGATTTTGCCCTCAAGACCTCTGACTGTCCGGACACCGAATATCCTGTCAGAATAATGAACAATGACCGAGGATGTCTGTGGTACAAGAAGGACAACAAGTTCAAGATCCCCAAAGGTGTGATTGTGTTTGTCTCTAAACTCAATATATCATGTCTAACAGCTAAAAAAAAGTCTGAAGTACAAAAAGTCTCTTACTGAACACTTTTGTCTCTTCTTTCAGCATACGTGCGGTTCCATCTCATATCACCTGTGGTGCAGAAATCTCCAAAAAAGTAAGCTGATGAACCTGTAAAAACATACCATGATTTGAGCAGATCTTGTAAATGTTGTAACTATGGAAACCTCATCTAGCCATTAGCGTGCCCTCAGGTCTTCGTTTCATCTCCAGTTTCTATTCCTGTCCATTTACCTTTTCATCTGACCTTCTCTTTTTTTATTCCTTCCTCTCACTTCCACTTAGCCTGGTGCTTTTTGACTTGTTTGTGAATATCCTGGTTCACAACTTGGCCGAGCCGGCCTATGAGGCTGATGTGGCGCAGCTAGAATATAAACTGGTGGCCGGTGAACATGGCCTAGTCATTAAGGTTAAGGGCTTCAATCACAAACTACCGGTAAGTGACGAGCGCAAATAAGATAGGGTGTTAAACTTTTTATTATTATTATCATTATTATTATTATTATTATTATTATTAAGTTGTGATCATTTGTTGCAGTTGCTGTTCAACCTGATTGTGGATTATCTTGCCGATTTCTCCGCCGCTCCTGATGTATTCAGCATGTTTGCAGAGCAGCTGAAGAAAACCTACTTTAACATCCTCATCAAGCCGGAGAAGCTTGGAAAGTGTGTCTACTTTATGTTTGCTTTTACTGCAGTTATACTTTTATGCAGCCATTTATACTTTATAGCAGGGGTGGGCAAACTCGGTCCTGGAGGGCCTGCATAGTTTAGCTCCAACGCTAATTAAACACACCTGAACATGCTAATCAGTGTCTTCAAAATCACTAGAAATCTTTAAGCAGGTGTGTTTGATTAGTGTTGGAGCTAGACTGTGCAGGACACCAGCCCTTCAGGAACAAGTTTGCCCATCCCTGCTTTAGAGAAACCACACACAAGCATACTTAAGTTTTTCTTTTTTTTAGAAAATGTGACCTGAACCAGTCACAATGGTCATTTAAAAACAAATTAGGATCTATACATACTGAATAAATGTTTTTGTTTGTTTATACTTTAGATAACATTGGCTGACACAATTATTTAAAAATTCCCTTTACAATTGTCCATATTAAATTCTTAGCCATGCATATTACTAATAAACAATTAAGTCTAAATAAACTTATGCTAAGAAATATATATATATATAATGTCTTAATTGATCATAATCTTTACATAATATTCTTATTATTTTTGCGATTAGAAGAAAAATCTATCATTTTGACCCATATAATGTACTGTTGGCTATTTCTACAAATATATTAAAAGGTCAAGTGGTCAAAAATGACTTGAAAATTTGAAGCTTTTAATTGATCATAAAAATACAGAAAAAACATATTGTGAAATATTAGAAATTAATTTTGCATTATGTTTTAAAAGGTAATGTTTTGAGGATACAAAGCTGAATTTCCTGCAGTTGTTAATTCAGGTTTTAGTGTAACAATCCTTCCACATACTATAGACACCACACTTAAGCATACTTAACTTTTATTTATTTTTTCTATTTTTAGAAAATGTGACCCTGAACCAGTTATAAGAGTCTTTTTTATTAAGATCTTATACATAACGGAATAGACATCAATAGACATGGCTGATGTAGACATTTGAATATCTGGAATCTGAGGGTTAAAAAAAAACGAAATATTGAGAGAATTTCATTTAAAATTGTCCAATTTAAGTTCTTAGCCATGTATATTACTAATCAACAATTAAGTCTAAATATATTTATGCTAAGAAATTTATATAATGTCTTCATGAAACATGATCTTTACTTAATATCCTAATGATATTTGGCATAAAAGAAAAATCAATAGTTTTGACCCAAATGATCTGATATTAGCCATTCCTACAAATATATTGTAAGACTAGTTTTGTGGTCAAGGGGTCAGAAATATCTTAACAAAATGAAAGCAATTTTATAGCCTCTATACCCTGCCTGTCTGTGGTGTGGTTTAATCGTGATTGTGATTTTTGTTTTTGATTGTGATATATTTTTATGCCACTTTTTAAATGTTTGTGTAAAAACGTGTGCATACTACTGTTTATAGGTTTGGGGTAAGTAATAATATTTGAATATCTTTGAATGAATCTCTTAAGCTCACCAAGGCTGCTTTTAATTTATAAAAATATATAGAAAAAAACTATATTGTGAAATATTCTAATTTATATTTGTATTATATTTTAAATGTCATTTATTTTTGTGAATGCAAAGCTTAAAGTCATTACTTCAGGTTTTAGTGCTACATGATCCTTTAGAAATCATTCTAATATTCTAAATTGATGATGAAGAAACATTTATGAGTATCAGTTTTTAAAAAGCTTAATTTTTTGATGGATAGAAGATTTACAAGAAAAGCATTTATTTGAAATAGAACACATTTATTATAATATATTATAAATGCAGTTATGGTCAGTTTTGTCATACATCATTGCTGATTAAAATTAATAATGTCTATTAAACTTTTTTTATATATCTTATACATTTAAATGGTAGTACCGGTAAAAAACCTTTTATTGAAAAAAAAATATGTTTGCCGTTTATTAAATTACATTAAAATTAACCAAAACAATACAATTCTTGAGGTTTGTGGGGGACAATTTAATTGTTTTAATTTGTTATGTCCAATGCACTTAAATTAACAAGTCAACTTAATTCCTTAATTTTGGATCAACAGAAATCAGTTTTGTGTGAACCCAACATTTTTAATGTTTGATGCAGCTTCTACAAGATGGTGCGTTAAAAATTCTCTTGGTCCGAAGCATAATACAATTGCCTCATAACACCATGATTGGTCCCTTCGCAATCCTGTATCTCTGCAAATCATGTATGCCATTGCCTATATGGCCATTGCTATAAATGTCCTTTCAGTAAAAAAGCCTTCCTCTCATAGCTCTTTCTATCTATATGTGTCTCTCCAGGGACGTGAGGCTGCTGATTCTGGAGCACTCGCGCTGGTCCACCATTCAGAAGTACCAGGCTGTGCTGGACGGGCTTAGTGTGGATGAGCTAATGGAGTTTGTGAGTGGCTTCAAGTCTGAGCTTTATGCTGAAGGACTACTGCAGGGAAACGTCACTAGCACTGTAAGTTTTATTGACACCTCACTTGTATTTGTTTTCAAAGAGCATTCTATGTTTTAAAGATGCCACATTGACTTGCATTTATGTACACTCAGTGTTATATAATATATTCAGGTTGAAATTAACACCTGCCAAATGCAGGTGAAAATTGACTGCGGTGGGTAACGCATATCAGCACTCGAGCTAGTTTGGTTTATAAATTATGTTCTATCACTTTGCATTTAATCACTATCATAGCCTTCGCTATAAAAGGAGCCTCAAACATTGGCAAAAAAAGGGGGGTAAAGAGGGTCGCACATTAAGAGAAGTGCTACTTTAAAATAAAAAAAATACTTTGGTAATATTGATTGATGTTTCTCTTTGGATTAAATTTTTTTTTCTCTTCATATATACAGTTTTTTTTGTGCTACTTTTGTTCTTTAAGTGAATGTATTGGTTGTAAACATATTTAATAGGGGTGTCAAAATTAATTGTTTCTTCGATGCACCGCAATGCAGACATCATTTATCGCATATGCGATACGTCGCAGTAGAATACTATGGCAAGGGAGGTAAGCGTGAGTAAATAAAACTTATCGGTGAACCACGTCAGAGTCAATCACAGCCCTTTTTGTTGAGCGTGTGACCAATCATAGGCATTTAACTACTCTCTTGACAGCGATTAAAAAGCAAGTGGGATAATATTTACGTTTGTTTATTTGCTATAAATGCTCATGTTGTTCTGTGCATGTCCTTGAGTTTTGTTTGATGTCGTGTTTTGTTTGAGCAGGTAAAACTAAAGGTACAGTTCATATATCTGACTGCTTGTATTCAAGGACAAGATTCTATTTCAAACACATATTAAATGTATTTAAAAATTATATATTTTAATACAAGAATTTTTGTGCTGTGAAGTAAAATATAAAATAGTGTATGAAAAGCATCGTCAATGCTCCGTGATATCAAATTGAACTGAATCGATGGCATAATAATTGTAACCATACCGTGAGACAAGTGTAGATTCACCCATAATATTATCTAATATTTAAATGTTCTGAACTGATTTTCTGATATCCGGTTATTCAAAAAATTCAAAAGATACTTTCAATAGATTAAAAAAAAAATTAAAAGCCTGAATGTATTAAATATTTCTTAATATTTTTTTCTTGTGACTTGACTCTTTCCAAATCACCACGTTGTAACTGCCTGGTCAACCTCAAAATTAGCTTAGAGTGGTGTCAACACAATTTAACCAATAAAACTATCCAAAAAAATCTTTTTTTTAAGGGTTAACAAAGGTCACACGGTTAAGTTGCATGGCTGCATAAATTAGAAATTATGTTAAACAAAGAGGACAATATAAATTAATATTTTAAACCATGTATTTTGTTTTATGAGCTTTTCCAGAGGCTTTGTGACTATTTTTAACAATATTACTACTAGATGGTATAACGTTCACTTTTTTTTCCTATTTTTTCTTTACCTCCATCGATCTATCTTACTATTTATTAATTAATTGACTTTTTTTAAACAATTATTATTATTTTGCTCTTAATAAATTGTTGTTTATTTATTTGGTAAATTATTAGTTAATCAATTTCTATTATTGTTTATGATTTGCTTTTGTAGTACATTTGGAGTAGAACCCATGGCACCTTCTTTTGCAAAATTTGCCTATGATTATATTTCTGGAATCACATTATACATTCATCCTGATATCTTTAAATACACGTCAAAAAATAACATTTTTACAGAATAGTAAAGGAATTTATTATAAAAGTATAACGCAAACAAAAAGTATATGCAAAAGTAAAATTGGATAAAGAATTAAAGACTAAAATTTCAGAAGAAGACTGGTTTGACTTGGGAAATGCATCAAACTACTACTAGTTCACAAGTGTGGAGGGAATGTTCCTGCAAATGCTTTATACGCTTCTTTATAACACTCAAGATTAAAGCAAACAGATCTCCAGACAACAAATGTGCTGGAGACAATGTGGGCAGGCAGAAGCAGATCATACCCATATCTTCTGGAGCTGTGAGAAAATTCAACCATTTTGGAATGATGTGCAGAATGTTATTTCTGAGGTGTTTGGATACAGGGTTCCTAGGACTGCACTATTCTTGTTTAGGGGTGGTATTAAGGACATTGTACCCCAGAGGTGACCAATATTTGTGTAAGATTCTTCTTGTGGCATGAAAAAAGACTATAACAAGGAACTGGCTTAAAGACTCAACGTTAAAACGTAAGCAGTGGTTTGAGATAATTGAAGAAATTCATGTAATGAAAAAACTGACATTTATGTTGAGGATGACAACAGATTTTTTTCAGCAAGGTTTGGGAAAAATGGTTTATATAGGGAATATAAAGACATCCACATGTATCTAAAAGATAATTGGAAGGGATCTAGCAATCTTATGCGTTTGGCTTTTTTTGTTTTTTGTGTGTTTTTTTTTCTACATGCAAGTTTATGTGTGTATATATAGGTAATTATGTATGTGCATATGTATGTAATGATTCAGTGCATCTGGAAAGTATTCATAGTGTTTCACTTTTTCCACATTTTTTTGTTACAGCCTTATTCCAAAATGGATTAAATTAATTTATTTCCTCAAAATTCTACACACAATACCCCATAATGACAATGTGATTTTTTTTTTTTTTTTTAATTGTTGCAAATTTATTAAAAATAAAAAACCTGAAAAATCACATGTACAAAGTATTTACAGCCTTTGCCGTGAAGCTCTAAATTGAGCTCAGGTACAGTCTGTTTCCACTGATCATTTTTGAGATGTTTTAGCAGCTTCATTGGAGTGGACCTGTGGTAAATTCAGTTGATTGGACATGATTTGAAAAGGCAGAATTTTTTTACTGAAAAATGTCTGCTGCTCTGAAAGTTCAAATTAGCACAGTGGCCTCCATCATCCGTAAGTGAAAGATGTTTGCAACCACCAGGACTCTTTCTAGAACTGGCTGGCCATCTAAGCTTAGTGATCGAGGAAGAAGGGTGAGGTGATCAATAACCCTATGGTCACTCTGTTTAAACTCCTGCGTTTTTCGCTGGAGAGAGGAGAACCTTACAGAGAGACAACCATCTGTGCAGCAATCCACCAATCAGGCCTGTATGGTAGAGTGGCCAGACAGAAGCCATTCCCCGCCTGGAATTTGCCAAAAGGCATCTGAAGGACTCTCAGACCATAAGAAACAAAATTCTCTGGTCTGATGAGACTAAAATTGATCTCTTTTGATTGAATGTCAGGCGTTACATTTGGAGAAAACCAGGCAGCGCTCATCACCAGGCTAATACCATCCCTACAGCAAAGCTTGGTGGTGGCAGCATCATGCTGCGGGGACGTTTTTCAGCAGCATGAACTTGAAGACTAGTCTGGAAAGAGGGAAATATGAATGCAGCAATGTACAGAGACATCCTGAATGAAAACCTGCTTCAGAGTGCTCTTGACCTCAGACTGGGGTGATGGTTCATCTTCCAACAAGACAATGACCCAAAGCACACAGCCAAAATATCAATGGAGTGACTTCACAACAACAATTTGGTGAATGTGCTTAAGTGGCCCAGCCAGAGCCCTAAATCCTATTGAACATCTCTGGAGAGATCAGAAAATGGCTGTACACCGTCACTTCCTATCAAACCTAATAGAGCTTGAGAGATACTGCAAAGAGGAATAGAAAAATTCCCAAAGACAGGTGTGCCAAGCTTGTGGCATCATATTCAAAAAGAATTGAGGCTGTAATTGCTGCCAAAGGTGCATCAACAAAGTACTGAGCAAAGGCTGTGAATACTTATGTACATGTGATTTTTCAGGTTTTTATTTTTTTAAATTTGCAACAATTAAAAAAAATTGTTTTTCACTTAGTCATTATGGGGCATCGTGTGTAGAATTTTGAAGAAATAAATAAATTTGATCCATTTTGGAATAAGGCTGTAAATGAAAAGGCATAAAAAATGTGGAAAAAGTGAAACGCTATGAATACTTTCCAGATGCACTGTAAATGCCTGCACGTAAAAGACTGAATTGCAGTATATCAGTAGACAACTTCTATTGAACTGTTAACTATTGTGTCGATCTATTTTAAAAGGAACAGATTTACATTTTTTATTTTTTCTAACCTGTAGGAATCCATGGGGTTTTTACAATATGTCACAGAGTAAGTACTTATTTTTATTTTTTATTTTTATAGCAGTACCAAAATGTTCCATTAATAAAAGTATTTCATTTATTTTCTCGTGTTCAGAAAATTGCAGTTCAAGAAGTTGTCAGTAGAGGTCCCTGTTCTCTTCAGGGTTGTGGAGCTCCCTCAGAAACATCACCTCTGCAAAGTCAAGTCTCTCAATAAGGGGGATGCAAACTCTGAGGTCACTGTGTATTATCAGGTAACACTTCTTCCCTGGTTTAGATCAGTAGATAATAGCATTTTCTTTCTAACATCTACCTTTGTGTTTTGGTAGTCTGGTCCTAAGAACCTGCGTGAACACACTCTGATGGAGCTGCTTGTGGTGAGTATGTGGCTTCAGTAAACGTTGTTGTAATTTGAAATGTGTATGTAAAGTATAAGAACGGCCACCCCAGGGTTTTTCGTTTTTAGCAATAAAGTCAGTCCCCCTTGGCAGTTTGTTGAGAAGTTCTCAGTTATTGCTCTCCAGGGCGCTGAGCACACACATCTGCATGGCCATAAGCTCAACTCATCCACTTTACTTTTATACTGAACACTGATTTTGGATGGTGTCCAGTTCTCTGTCTTTCTCAGCAGTTACTTTAAAACACTTGAGAGCTTGGGCTGGCGCTTATTGTAAAGTCTAATGTACTGTCCTAAAGGTTTAACGATTTATTTGTTTTGGGGTTTTTTGACGATTAATCGCTGATGATAACAGATGCTTTTTGAAAGTATTAGGCATTAACTAAAAAAAATATTGAGATGTGTGTCTTTTTCGTAGCTGGCAACCCTGGTGAGAGAGATACACAGTTTAAGTCAGAATTAATAGCCCCCCTAATTATTAGCCCTTTGCCATGATGACAGTAAATAATATTTTACTAGATATTTTTCAAGATATTTCTAAGTGACATTTAAACGCTTAACTAGATTAATTAGGTTAACTAGGCAGGTTAGGGTAATTAGGCAAGTTATTGTATAATAATGGTTTGTTCTTTAGACTATCAGAAAAAACTATTAATTTGGGCTATACATTTTGACTTTAAAATGTATATTAAAAAATTAAAACTGCTTTTATTCTAGCCAAAATAAAACAAGTAAGACTTTATTGTGAAAATGTCCTTGCTCTGTTTCTAGTCCAAATATCTACATTTCAAAGCAAAAATAAAATTATTTAACTTGCCCCACTGACAGATATGTTTGCTAGTTTTAAAGAAAATCTCTTGATTTTGCTTATTTCATCAGAATTTTAAAACAAAGTAATAGTTTTACATGATACAATTTTTTGGGGATGTTTTTGACTAGAAATGAGTCAAAGCAAAGTAAAAAAAAAAGCATTTTTTGCTTTGCCATTTTTCAATTTCTGTACCTGATATCTAATTAACTCCCCAGAAAACCGTCAAATAGAGCTATTCAATATTTTCTATATCTCGTAAAACTGTATTTACATTGCAATATTAATCACGGGAAAATAAAACATTGCGATTATCAGATTTTTCCAATATCATGCAGCCCTAATGTAAATTGGTATAACTCATTTTCATGTATCTCTTACTAAGTAATGTTGTTATTATTTCGTTATATGTTTTTGTCTATAATAATCATGCATTAAAATAGACTTAAGTTGCTTATGTGGAAAAAATATATAATCATTTTAGTGTTTAGTGAATAACGTCTCTGTTTGTGTCACAAATTTTGCTGAATTGTTATTTGAATCGAGACTACAGTCTTAAAGTTAATCATGTCTGCACAATAGATTAGAAAAATCCAATAGCAGAAAACTTCTGAATTCCTTTACCAGCAGACCAATTACCTGTGTTTTATCAACTCATGTCTTATCACGGTGTCTCTGCTGTGTTGTAGATGCACATGGAGGAGCCGTGTTTTGACTTCCTCCGGACCAAAGAGACTCTGGGGTAAATTTTTGGACAACATCAGAACATTATCTTCCTCAGGTTGCTGGTTTTAATTAGTTGTACTCGGTCTGTTTTTACAGATATCACGTCTACCCAACCTGTAGAAACACATCAGGTGTTCTTGGATTCTCCGTAACAGTGGAAACACAGGCCACCAAGTTCAAGTGAGCTCTTATTGTGTTTTGTGGATGTAGTTCGCTGCTGCATCCGAATGATCTGATTTATGTTCTGCAGCTGCTGCCTCTTGACATCCAAATCATAATTAACCTTTATCTCCACCTCTATCTCAGCTCAATTGCAGTGTTACTTTACTCTTGATTGGCTTTCTTCTTTTTGAAGCGAAGTACAGCGTACACTGAATGTTAACAACGCATCCATGTATTTACATCATGCTGAACGTTTCATTGCCTCATAAAAGACTATATTGCATAAGGTTGTGTTAATATATAGCCGGGTTACTGTTGGCCTGGAAATTTCAAGGAGTTTTAGAAGTGAGAAGGGAGTTAATGATTTTTTTAAAGGTGGTGGACAGTTTTGAATTATTTAAACAAAATAAAATAGTTTTAAAGTGTTTTTTTAGCTGGAAATAATCGTGAGGTTTCTTTTTTTTTCAGGTGTTTGGAAATACTGAATACATTTTTTTAAATAATTGCTATTTTTAATCAGCAAGGATCAATAAAAAGAAATCATGATAGTTTACTCACCCAAAGGGCATCCAAACTGTAGGAGACTTTTTTCTTCAGTAACTGTTTAGGAAATGTCACATAATTCTAAAGAAAAAAGAAAGAAATCCACAGAAATATTAACATTTGTAAAAAGATTATTTTTAAATAAAATACAGTAATAAATAGCTAAAATTAAAGTTAAGTTAGAATTATTTTTTTTTAGCTAGGAAAAATTGTGAGGGTTCTGTTAAATTAGATTAAAAATCTTTTTTTAATTGTTTAAAAGTCCTGAATAAAACTCGATTACTATTTTTAATCAGCAAGGATCCATAAAAAGAAATCAAGTTAGTTTACTTGCCTAAATGGGCATCCAAATTTATGGGCATCTACTGCGTAAAACATGCGCTAGATAAGTTCCGCTGTGGTGACCCCTGATGAAAGGGACTAAGTCGAAAAAAGACTTTTTTTTTTTCTCCAGGAACGTTATTGAAAATGTCAGTTAATTCAAAAGAAAAAAGAAATCCACAGAAATTTTAAATTTAGTACTATGATTTTTTTTCTTCAGGAACATTAAGTCAATTGATTCTAAAAAAAATTTAAAAATAAATAAAAAAAAAAGATTAGTTATATGATTTTTTTATAAATCAGTTATAAATTGCATTAAAGTCTGTTCTAAAAGTAAATGTTTAGTTAAAATTTGTCTTTCTTTAGCTAGAAATAATTGCGAGATTTCTATAAAATTTGTAAAAAAAAAAAAATTAAAATAAAAAGTTCAGTTGTTTGAAAATACTGAAGACATTTGAAAAATAATAGCTATTTATTATCAGCAGGGATTTATAAAAAAAAATAAAATCATGTTAGATTACTCACCCAAAGGGCATCCAAATTGGAGGAGAATTTTACTTTCCTGACATAATAGGAAATGTCAATTATTTATAAAAAAAATAAATAAATCATTAGTTATATGATTTTTTTAATGAAACTAATAAATTACATTTATTAGTTACATTTATAAGTTATACTTTATCTTATAAATAAGGCCTTAATGATCATGAAAAAGTTAAATTAAATAAAAAAAAAACCTTAATAATACTATAGGTTAACATAACGCAAATATGATTTGTATTGTAAATTTAGATTCTAAAATATTTGCTGCTTTTGAGTTTTGTGAACTTTTTTTCACACCGTTTTTTTCCCTGCACTGCAGCACTGAACTAGTGGAGACAAAAATTGAGGAATTTCTGGTAAGCTTTGGAGAGAAGATGAACAGCCTGAGCGATGACGCCTTCAGGACACAGGTGACCGCTCTGGTCAAGCTGAAGGGCTGTGAAGACACTCATCTGGGCGAGGAGGTGGACAGGAACTGGACAGAGGTGGTCACGCAGCAGTACGTCTTCGACAGACTGAGCAGAGAGGTGAGACAACCTCAACAATGTGTTCATCATCCATTCGGAAAATAGATCTGGACATTGTCATGGTTTTTTTTAACTCATCCTACAGATTGATGCGCTGAAGCTCATGACCAAGGCTGAGCTGGTGAACTGGTTTATGGAGCATCGGGGTGAAGGCAACAGGAAGCTGAGTGTACATGTAGGTTTAACTTTATATAATTCTGTAGTAATTCATCTGTTCAGTCAGTCTAAATGCAAGCAAGGGTTTCTTTAGAAAAAAATACCTGATACCTGATCTTACTTTGATACTTTGTAAAAGACAAAGTGCTGCATAGCAAAAACGCTTACAACGAAGCGTTTTTAGAACAGTGCTTGTTTCTGCAGTGCTAAAATGCGTTTTACTCTACCACCAGCCATAGTCACTGTGTGGAGTGAAGTGGCTTTCACACCGGACACGGGAAGCACTGCACTATGAAACTCGTTCATTTCATAGAAGTGGACTGTCAACTAGCTTGTGCATACCTTGGGCAAATTTATTATTATTTTTTTAATCAGTATAATTTAAATTGTTATTAAAGTTACATTTAAAAGGAGTTCAATTTAAAATGTTTTACAAAATTCATAAGATTTTGTTTTTAAAACTAGTTTAGGGGACAAAAAGTTATCTATAATATAATATTACTGTCTGTAAGTTTTTTTTGTTTGTTTGTTTTTGTAGCGCTTTTTAAAAACATATATAAAATAACCATACATAGTTATACACTGTTAACGTCAACATTAGTAGAATTACTGTTTCATCTTAGTATATTTAGTATTAGTAATATTATTTACTTTTTTTGGTCAATTTATCAAAAATAAACTATTTTATAATATTATTTAAATATATATTTTTATTTTATTCTTTTTATATTTCATTTTATTTTTTTGGGGCGGCTCAGTGGTTAGCCCTGTCGCCTCACAGCAAGAAGGTCGCTAGTTTGAGCCCTGGCTGAGTTCGTTGGCATTTCTGTTTGGAGTTTGCATGTTTGCTCGTGTTCGCGTGGGTTTCTTCCGAATGCTTTGGTTTCCCCCACAGTCCACAGAAATGCGGTGAAAGGTGAATTGAATAAACTAAATTGGCTGTAAGTGTATGTGTGTAAATGAGTGTGTGTGGATGTTTCCCAGTACTGGGTTGCAGCTGGAAGGGCATCCACTGCGTAAAACATGCGCTAGATAAGTTCCGCTGTGGTGACCCCTGATGAAAGGGACTAAGTCGAAGGAAAATGAATGTATCAAAATATTTTAAATTTGGATAATGAGTTAAACTTTTTATTTAAAAACTAATGTAAGTAGTATTATTCGTTTTTTTTTTTTTTTGTTTTTTTTTTGTGAATTTCCTTAGGGAAACCAATCTATATGTACAGTGCTTACATTATACTAAATGCACATACCAGTCAGAAGATCTTTTTTTTTTCCAGGTTGTTGGCTACGGAGTAGAAGAAAACGACCCTCCCAATGATCCACATCCTGGAGAAGAAGAAGAGGCCAGCAAGATGTCATTATATGGAGAAGTTTCCAAACTCACCTTCCTTCAAGCTTCCAATCTCCTGGCCTCCGTCAGCACCATAACAGACATCCGGGCCTTCACCCAAACCCTCAACCTCTTTCCTTACCACAAGATTCTCAAATAAACCAACCACCAACCCCAGTATCTCCATCATCCATCCTCTCCTACTGTCATACTTGAGCAAAGGATGAGCTTCAGCTGTATGTGTGTGTTTGCGTATGTGTGTGTGTGCATGAATGGGGCTAAACATGGGGATGGATGCAGGTCTTTAGAACATAAACATGACTTAAAGTACTCAGAATTGTGTGTATTTTATCAATATATCTGCAGTGTTATGTTTGTACTCAAATATTTCTAATGTTATGACACTGCTGAAAAATATTTGAATGAAATCGCTGGACTGCTTTTAATGTAGGCGGTTGAGGATTCGTAAGCATGCGAGAGCAATTTGATGATGCTTCTTTTATACTGCTCTACAGCATCACTCTGCATTTGGCACAACTTCAAACTGTAAAAACGAGGGACGGCTAATATCACTGCTTGAATTCAGAGTGTGCAAATATATTTATTAAAAGCATCGTAAAACTACTAATGGACTGTTTGCATTTTAGTATTTTCATTTCTGTTATGAATCACTTTTGTGTGTGTGGTCAGTTAAAATAATGAAAGCATTTCATCATTTTGGTATGGTTTTGTTTAATTTATTTATTCTTTATATTCTTTTTGAAGGGCATTTGAAAGTGGGATGGATTAAAATTGGTATGTTAATAAATTACTTTATTAAATGAAACGTTTATCCTGCACTGATATTCATCTAATTTAGTTTTTGTTTTGTCTTTCAAATAACTAATTTCTAACTAGCAGTATTATTAGTACTATTTCATATTTTACATTTCAAATTTAAATAACAATTTATTTTACAAAATAAATTCAATCACTTCATAGAACTGAGTTATCATCTGACTAAATTACTGAGCTGCATTTTTTTCATTCACTTAACTAAGAATTACAATGGCAAAAGCAACATTGTTACATATTTGAACTGTATTCTAATAAATGAATGAATATTTGGTAATATTTTACATTGGTTTCATTAATTAGTACTGTAGTTTATAATCGGCAGTAGCCTAATTTTACACCATTTGTTAGTTAATGATATTCTCAAAACGTACTATAAAATTTTAAAGATTATAAGCAGTGCATGATGAGTTTTAAGCAAGATTTGTACTGCAATACTTTTAAATTTGTTAGAAGGATTTGTATAATCACTGTTTTACTACAAATACTGTGTTTTAACTGTGGTTAATTTGTGGTTATGATTTAACAACAAAACTTTTTGTACATAAACCATGGTCAAGTTCTATTCATTCATTCTCCTTCGGCTTTGTCCCTTTATTAATCGAGGGTCGCCACAGCGGAAAGAACCGCTAACTATTCCAGCATATGTTTCCCAAAGTGCAAACCTTCCAGCTGCAACCCAAAACTGGGAAACATCCATACACACTCATTCACAAACATACACTACAGCCAATTTAGTTAATTCAATTCACCTATATCGCATGTCTTTGGACTGGTGGGGAAACCAAAGTAAACCCACACGAACACGGGGACATGCAAACTCCACCTAGAAAGCCAACTGACCCAGTTGTGACTCGAACCAGCAACCGTCTTGCTGTGAGGCGACTGTGCTAAACAATGAGAAGAAAACTAGACCATGTGCACCCAATGGTTCAAATGGATCATTACACACAGCAAGACTAGTGACTGAGTGGTTTGATGAACATAAAAAAGTGAAGTTAAACATCTACCATGGCCTGAACAGTTACCAGATCTAAATACTATTGAGCCATTTTGGGGTGTTTTGTTGGAGTGAGTCAGGAATTGTTTTCCTCCACCAGTTTCACGTAATGACCTGGCCACTATTTTGCAAGAAGAATGGTTTAAAATCCCTCTGGCCACTGTATAGGACTTGTTTCGTAATTTAGCAAAAAAAAAAAAAAAAAAACAGCACAAAATCACAGCAATTTGTAACTTTTTGATTTAGTAGCTAATTCGTATGAATTCGTACAATCTCATTCGTACAATTTAGTATGATTTGCTCATCCCCCAATGACGGTTGGCTTTAGGGGTGGGGTTGAGTGCCAAGCCCCCTTTTTAAAATAGTATAAAAATGTTTACATTACCTAACATTAATTAATAATGGTTAAAATGCTGTAAAAAAAATATGTACTGTTTATTATTAGTTTATGTTAGTTGCTGTATTAACAACTGTTAACAAATAAAACCGTAATGTAGAATTCTCAAACATTTTTCAATCCATTAAATATTTTATTCTGGCTAAACTACAATAATACTTTCTTCAGAAGAAAACTATTATAAGATATACTGTCCGGAGGACCATGTGCACCCAGTGGTTCAAATAGATCAATACACACAGCTAGACTTGTGACAGTAGTTTGATGAACATGAACATCTCCCGTGGCCTGCACCAGATCTAAACATTATTGATATAGTGTTTTGGAAGAGAAAAGTCAGGAACATTTTTGTCCACCAGCATCACGTAATGACTTGGCCACTATTCTTTAAGAGGAATGGTTCAAAATCCCTCTGGTCACTGTATAGGACTTGTTAAGTTTCATAATTTAGCAAATAACAAATTAACACATCTCACGCAATCCATAACATTTTGATTTAGTAGCTAATTCGTATGAATTCGTACAATTTCATTCGTACAATTTAGTACGATTTGCTCATCCCTCAATGATGGTTTGCTTTAGGGACAGGGTTGGGTGCAACACCGCCTGCTTAAAATCGTACATTTTCTAACAACTGAACTTGTACGAATTCATACGAATTGGCCACTAATTTGACAACTTTAAATAGTTACATTTCCTCATGAGATGAGCCTGAAATGAATGCACTGTCACCAAACATAAATATGAATTTTTACATTACCTAACTTTAATTAATAATGGTTAAAACGCTGTAAAAACATGTACTGTTCATTATTAATGTTAGTTGCTGTATTAAAAACTGGTAACAAATATAACCGTCATGTAGAGTTCCCAAATATTTTTCATTCCATTAAAAATTACAAGAAAATATACCCTTTTTATCAGAAGAAAATTGTATAGGATATACCTTGCTGTGTTAAACATCACTTGGGAATATAAAATATAAAAAGTAGTGAAGGCTGGATATGGCTCTTCCACTACAAAAATCCTCTAGAAAATAGTGGATAAAAAAAGTGAAATGCCATTTGAAAAGGCTTGCCCTCGCCTCTCCAAAAGGTGACCTTAGATTCAGCTGAGAATACAGTGAGAATTGTCAGAGTGCCAACACTTAGCAGAGTTGGCATTGTGTCTTCTTGTCCAGGCAGGTGCACACAGCGGCACAGCAGGACAGTTGATCTCTCTGTGCTTCAGAATAGCTCTTCTTCTTTGACCACTCTTCTGTCCGCAAGCTCTATGTAGAAACTGGCAAGAGTTTCATCAGTCTTCCAAAACTAGCACACTTCAACATGAAATCAAAAAAGTGTTTCATTTACCTGTATATTTGGAGTGTTTCTTTAGTTTAAAAACAATTAAAATACACTTTTTTCAACCGTTTTTATTGATTTGTGTCTGTACTGTACATGTAAATTTCAATACATTTTCATTGTTTTCTCATTTCCTTTTCTCTTGACGCCACTTCATCAGACCTTGCTTTACACAAATTTTTATTCATTCATTCATTCATTCATTTTCCTTTGGTGTAGTCCCTTTATTTATCAGGGTTTTCCACCACAGTGGAATGAACCGCCAACTTATCCAGCATATGTTTTACACAGTGGATGCCCTTCCAGCTGCAGTCAAGTACTGGGAAACATCCACTTATTCACACACATACAATACCGCCAATTTATTTTATCCAATTCACCTATACTACATGTCTTTGGACTGTGGGGGAAACTGGAACACCCAGAAAAAACCTATGCCAACACGGGAACAACATGCAAACTCAACATAGAAACGCCAACTGACCCAGCTGGAACTCGAACCAGCGACCTTCTTGCTGTGAGGCAACAGTAGATTTTGTTTATGCATAATTTGCCTGATTAGAGGTATTGTTCTCTGATGAGTCCACCTTCACCGTCTTTCCCACATCTGGGAGAGTTACAGAGTGGAGAAGCCCAAAATAAGCATACCCCCCAGACTGTTGCATGCCTGAAGTAAAGCATGGGGGTGTATCAGATATGGTTTGGGCTGGAATGTCATGGCATTCAATATAAATTGTGTTAGATGGGCGCATCACTGCCATGGACTACCAAACCATCCTAGGGGATGTGGACTCAATAGTTCAAACAATGTATCCTGAAGGTGGTGCCATGTATCAGGATGATAATGCACAAATACACACAACAAGACTGGTGACAGAGTGGTTTGATGCACATGTCATTGAAATTGAATATCTGGCATGGCCTGAACAGTTACAAGAACTAAATATTATTGAGTCACTTTTTGGGTGGTTTGGAGGAGTGAGTCAGGAAACATTTTCCTCCACCAGCATCACATAGTGACCTTGTCACTATTTTGCATGAAGCATGGCTCAAAATTTTTCTAGCCACTCTGCAGGACATGTATCTGTCATTTCCAAGGTGAAATGATGATGTATTGGCTGCAAAACGAGGTCTACAGCATACTAATGAATTATTATGGTCTGAAACCAACTGTTTCAGTTTTATATATTGATGATTTTTAAATGATTTGTTTTTCCTGTTTGCAGTACATTCTAAATTATTGTATGATAAAATCATACTTCCAACTCCGCTTTGTGAAAAATCTGTGTTCACCGAAGTTGCGAAGACATTTATTCCAACTAAGCTGAAATATTGAGTAGGGATGGGGCTTTTTTTTTTTTTTTTTTGCTTATAATTCCCTTGTAGCAAACTAATGGTGGAAAGCGGGGTATGGTTGAGAATATTGTGGCTGAAGCCGTCAAACTGATGTCAGCAGAGATGGACCACCACTCCAATCATATTTCAAGAGTTCCCACTTAGATATGCTTGGCATTTATAGCAGGTTTGGCATGCTGTCCCGGGAGAGAACCCTGAGCTCGGAGATATTTGAGCCCAGGGCTCCCGTCCGGTCTAGAAGCATATCAAGGGATCTGAGATCATGTAGGTTTCAATTGTTTCCCCTTCAGAAGGGGAGAAAAAGGAGAGGATGGGGTGGAAAGGGGGGATTCTTCCAAAAAGAAGATAGAGCAATAAGGAGAAAGTGATCCATTTATATTAAGCTAGGATCATTTTGATTGGATTATTACTGATTACGGATGAGTGGCCAGCAGTGCACATCATATCACATGCTCCTCTCGAAATTAGTTTGTGAAACATCACTTTGTTCACAAATTGCGTTGGAAAATAAACATTGTAAATCACTTATCCATGTCAAAAAAATCCAGCAACCATTTTAAATGACCTTCTGATATTCAGGATTTTCTTGGGTTAGAATTAGCACATATTTCCTCATTTTAAATAATCCCTCATTTACATAATTAAATATAACATTTTATAAAACTTGTAATACATTTTTTTTTCTCCATTTGTAATGAATTAATCAAGCGAAGTGTGGTGATAAATATTTGTTAATTTTGACCCAATTCACCTAAAGCGTCTTGCCTGAAGGATAAGCTCATCTTTGAATACATGGCCTGCTTTTTGTAGTTAGATGTTCGCCACAGTTTCTCCATCTCACTCCTGAGGGGCGTCTTAATTGACAAGCTGCTTTAGCGGGAAGGAGGTGTAACTAAGAGAGAAAACGCTTGGGTAATATAAATAAATAAGGCAGATATATGGAAGAGGTGAGCCTGCTGCTCTACAGGGAGTTCAGCTTTACTCATGGAGCTGTGAGTCTCGCTGCTCTCACGGATCATGTTAAATATAAAAAAGACATGAATCGTGTGCCCTCCAGGCAGCAAAGCGCAGGGAATGAAACAAGGGCTCCTGTAAGGCAGGTTAATTGGGTCTGGCCTTTCAGTAGAAAGATAATGGCATCTAATGCTAGATTCAGACAACCTCGTTCAACTAATTTTATAACAGATAAATTCAGAGCTGTAATTTATTTTGGGGAACTGCACTATTATGGGTTTGAAAAGTCGAACATTGTAAAAATAAAATTGCACCATAAAATCTCTATCTTCTCTCTCTCTCTCTGCCCAAAACAGTGCCAGTATTTAAATATGTTACATATGTTTCATTTTCTTTAATTTCCATCATTTTAATACAAATTGCACACCCACAGTTTAACACATATATGAATCTGCCACGTCTGTTTTGCATCTGTTTGTTAATATTAAGATTCATGTGAGTTCTCTTAAAAATATTTTTTTTTGTAAAAAAACAAATACTTGTCATGAAACAGAAGTTGCAATAGTATTTCCTTCTTTTGTGTCACATTGATCTGCGTTAATATGGAAGGCAGTTGGTGACAAAAGTCTTTAAAAAAAACGCATTTGGATCATGCGACTAAGCACAGGTGGCATTTTTTAATATGTTCCTTATGGCCCGTTTCCACTGAGTGGTACTGTACAGTATGGGTCAGTGTGTTTTTATGGCTGTTTCCACTGTCAAAAAGTAGCAAAAAGCAAATCGTACTGTACCACTTTTTGGGTACTGTTTTCAAAGGGTAACTAGCATGACAAAAGGGTACTAAAAGACAGAGCTAGATGCACAGCTGAATACTATTGGTTTACAGAGAAACGTCACTAGTGCGTGCACAAGCCAGAAGAATGAAAACAAAGGAAGCACCATTTTTAAATACACAGCCGAGACATTACACTGTTATGATAACGAGCCATGGTCAACCCTAGCTCAAACAAACATTGTTATTTTTTTGATAAACTCACTCTAAAAGTCCCAGAAGTCATTGCAGCAAAATTAAGGAGGTGGGAAGCACAGCATTTTATATTACTATTTATTATAAAATTTTAGACATATAACTTATTTATTCCAGAAGTTTCCTTAAATGAGATGGTAAAAGTAAACAGTCACATAGAAAAAATCACATTAACGGAATTTATTTGCTTAAATTTGTATTCAAATCTGTTTCTTTTTTTTTTTTTTGCATAGTATTTTTGTAAGGGTTTTGTGCATGTTATATACTGTATATATTGAAAAGGAAAAACATAATAAATCAGTGTGTTAATGCTGTAATGTTTAAATAATTTCCGATCAAAATGCGTGAAGGTCATCAGGAAGGACGCAGCATCTAATTTCTCAGAGAACATGTTTTGTGTTCTCAAAATCTTCCAAGTTCATTATTCTGAGGTAACATGGCGAGCATCTGATTGTTGGGGTGGCATTTTTAATAAACTTATATAAAGACAAACGTAAGCGTTAGTGTTAACAACTGTCACCTGTGTGTGCCACCTGTCTCAAGACAAAAATTTAAAAGGAGGAGAGACAACAGTGGAAGAAAAGGGATGACCAGACCTGGACACTTTCTTTGTTTTGCTTTCAATTTGGCAGTATGTGAAGCTGCCATTTGTTTTAGGTTTATTTTCATTATTAAAATGATTTAAAGTTTATCCGCCTCCTTCTTCAAGATGGCTAATGAGCCATCAAACTTTACTACAATACCATTCCATTACAGAAAGAAAAACAACAGTATGACTGAAAATAACCCCATAAAAAAAATCAGATATTGATTTCAAATTGTGGTTTAACAGAAGCATTTATACAAGCAAACTAATGAAACTGGGCACAACTGGCAGCAATTGTGTAGCTTATGATTTTTGCATACATACTGTATGCCAGACAACGATTTTTTTATTAAATATTATACACATATTTGTGCAATGGCAGTAAAGGGGTGGGAATGGAATTCCCATGTCACTTGTATTATTTAATTAGAAGTATGTCAAATACCAAGATCTGCACTAAAGCATTTCCTTAAAGTAAACACATTGACATAGATGAGTAGGCTCTTAATCTTCTTCTTTCTGCTTTATTCTGAAATTATTCTAACGTATGCAACAAATCCCTGCCAGTCCTTATAATCAAATCTGTCAATGATGTGGCACCTTGCTGTGTGTGTGTTTGTGTGTGTGTGACTCAGAGCACATATAAATGTGCATGCATGCATGCATGCACAGGGGAGCATACGTTATCTGTATTCTGGATAGGCGTATTTGATTTTGCATGTAATATATTGAAAAAAGGGATTTAAAAATATTATCCATTATCTTATAGCAATGGTGATTATAATATATTAGTTTATGCATCGTGTAAAATGGTTAATTTGTCTTGGATAATTTATTATTTAGTTTTTTGTACCATGATTTACAGAAAATACACATTAAAATGCCATTCAAGTGTAATAATAAACTATATATATCAAAAGAATCTTGTATGACATACTATAAACAATAATCATTCAAATTGAAAAACGACAGGTTTAATATATTCAAAATTATGTTCATATTTTGTCTAGTGACCTTTTTAGTTATTTAAACACAACCTAATCTTCTTCTACTTCTTCTTATTATTATTATTATTATATTATTATTTCCTAGTCACCTGCCCATTATATTCTCTCCTTGCACGTTTCCCATATGCAGATGAAGGCAGTGTGATGTGAAAGCTGTCAGTGCGCGTCCCCTCGGCCGCTGGTCATGTGCAGGATGACGCGCTGCTCATAGGCTGATACGCTTCGCTCGCGTTGAGCGTTGGTAAAGGTGTGGGTTCATTTGATGACCCTTCGCGGCTCAGCATCATCATCATCATCACACGGGCTGTTGCTTCCTCCTGAGAGACCGTCGACACTCTCGCAGCCTGCACACTACAACCGCGCAATCTGGTAATGCCACTCAGTCATTGGCGGGCTCAGATATGCTATAACGCGCGGTTGTTCGGGATACTACGGAATTACAGCCGCAACAAATGATGATGTGACAGGCGTCCGGTAGATAATAAAAGCTCGCGGTGCAGTGGACGCGGCATTTCTGCTAACGAAGCAAAGCCTCAGACGAGCCTTTTCCAGATGAACAGATACAGTAGTGTTCACTACTGACTGACCGACAGCAGTCATTCGGAATAATACCTGCACCTCGCTTTACCAACATTCAAGGAGAAAAAACAGGTTTTAAGGTAACTGAAATGCTTTGGATTTTGTACTCGAATGCAGGTGTTCAAATGTAAATGATGCCAGTTCAAGTTTGAATCTTATGTTCCTTGAGTCATAAAAAAGTATGTCTATAGTGCAGGTTAAAATAGAATTGAAGGCTAATTGTTAGGGTATTTAGGCAACATGTAATATGACAAGCAATATTTGATTGTTTTTTTTTTTTTTTTTTTGTACAAACTGGGCATATGTATGTATACAGTGAATTTTAATGTAAATAATTTCTATTACACATAATTAGTTATGTAAAGTTAGGGTTGCACGTTATTGGAGAAATTACACATTGCGATTTTTTTATTCTGTGATGTATATTGAGTTGAGTTGAAAACTGTTTGGAAAGAATTTACATGTAATAACATGTAATAAACAATCTACAAGCATAGACAGATTCAATAAAGAAAAAAATGCTAATTAAATAAACAGCGTTTTATTGTTTTCCGAAGAGTTAAAATGTATTCAGGTATACAGTAATTGAATAATCAAATGTAAAATAATACTGCTGCATAGTCTTTGTTTTATAAACAATTCAATAAAATTAATCGTTATTAATTTTTCAAAGATACAATTTCTAACGCCTGAATGCTTTTAAACCGTGACAAAGTCACAGGCCTCAAAAAACACTTGCGAAATGATCAATTATAATCCAGACTTAACATTGCGTATAGTCATGATGCGACTTTTGCGAATGGTTGCGATATCGATGCTGAAACAATATATTGTGCAGCCCAATGTATTTATTATACAGTATGGGTAATGCATACTTTATACTTAAATGCTAATAACAATAAACAATCAACAATAAATTGTAAACACAGAGAAACTGAGACTTTCTGAATACTTTTTTACTATTATTTTCATTTATATTAGCCAACCATTTATTTAAAAAAATATATATATACTCTTACGTTTATTTACATTTTGTAATTTTATGTTAGTATAAAGTGGTTAAATGGTCATTTCCTGTTTTTATTTACCAGGGTTAAAGGCATACAGCAGTTCACGCAAAAATGAAAATTTACTCACCATGTACTCATCCTCAAGTGTTTCCAACATTCAAGATTTACATGTTTCAACACAAAAGAACATATTTTAAGCAAAGCAATGTATTTTGAAGTAAGCTGAAAACCTGTACCATCAACTTTCTTTGTGTTCAACAAAAGAAAGGCAAGTAAACGACAACAGAATTTTAATTTTTGGGTGAACAATCTGTTTGATTTTCTTTTTATATTCACGATTATGCCGTTGAACTGTTGTTAAAACGCAATATCACATAGCAGTGTGATATGGCTGTAAATCGGCACTGGTGTGACACTAAAAACATTGGTATAGTCATTGGTATATAGACACCTCCCACCAGTACCAATATACAGCCATAACGCACTTCTACTTGTGAGATAATGCTCATTAATTGTTTAACTTGTCTACAATTGAGCCAAAACAGACAAAAAAGCCCCTTTCACACATACAGACCTTAAACATGAACAAACTATTATGAAAGGGATCATGTGTGAACAGACTTTTTTTGAAAATACAGGTAAATTCGTTCTGGCAATTTTGCAAAAAGAGAAGTTGTAACATTACTGGTAATTTGCCAGAATGCTGCTTTGTGTGAAAGCAGAAGGAAAATTGCCGGAAAGAGGGCATTTACGATTAGAACGCAATGTCTACTCCAGCCAATCAGAACATTTATACGCATTAAAATCCTTGCTGTTTATGAAAATAAAAGCCTTTGAATATTTTTCCAGACACATTTAGCTGCTAGATGTTAGTCAGATATCATTTCTATGTTCCTTCTGAATGACAACTGTGTAAAAATGATCGATAAAATGCTGTTTGTTTACCTTCAAGCTCTGCTTCAGTTGCTTGACGCATGTGCATGTAAAGAAGTGCTCTGGTGAGCACCAGCGCACACACATATTATGTACATCTCAACATGTAAAAATGTTCCTCCATATGTTTTCTTGGAAGTTGTACACAATCCATCCACAGAGTTTGTAATGTCGTCAAATGTGTAAATGTTTTGCTGTGGTTAGCGCATCTGCATTTGAATGTCTCTGGGACAAAGCAGCTGCATGAATGCTAAAGCTTTACATAAAAGTCAAACCATCAAGCATGGATGTGAGAACGGTCTATTCTGGAAAAATCCCGTAACATCTTTGCCTGTGTGAACAGCGCTCTTTTTAACTTACCGGTAAGGTCATTCTGGTAATTTTCTGGATATTACTCATTTCTCTGTGAAAGGGGCTATAGACAGACAGTCACAGTATACATTTCATTTCTGTGATGGAAGAGCGTGTTAGTAGTCAGATGTGTCATGCAGAATCATAGCTTTTGGCGAAGAAGTCATGTTTTCCACAGGGGCAAAGCATATGTTGTCTGTTTCTAGCGGACACGACACATACACAGATGCTGTTTTAGTGGAGACATGATTTCTAGGCCAGCGAAGCTTTCCCTGCCAAGGTGGCCTGGCGTGTTTGGAAGCTGCTTTTCAACTGTTTGTTTTGCTGGATTTACATGGCAGGCTCTCCAGCAGTGTGCTCTTGGCAGATGTACTGCTTGAGGGAGCATGTTTGTTGGAGTCAAGCTATGGTAAAGCACACAGTCTGAAGTTTTTAAAGCCTCACTGTGAGTCACCTTGACAGGGAAGAGCCCATCAAGAGCTTTTCTGCCAAAGAGACTTGTCTGTTGTAAGTGAGATGACATATCTGAACGTTGTGTTATACCACTACACTGGTAAAAAGAGAACTTGTTGCAAAATACGCTATAGAGTTTAATACGATTGTAGAATCCAATAGACAATTGGAGCCCATTTGCCAGTTTAGATGGGTTTTTAGTGGTAGTTTCTTCAATGTTCACAAAAAAAAATGTAGCTAATTTACTCTCCCTCAAGTTTGGTCAATCTTTAGTCATTCATAAAGTGCAACCCAATGGCTACCAGGACTTTGAGAATCAAAAAACCCCTAAACATATTCAGGTATAACAACATTTATATAGTGTTTATTTATTATTATTATTATATATATTTTTTTTACAAATATTGTACAGACCCAATTGAATATGTTCTTAAGTGAGCCACTTACTGATTCAAATGATCTGGTCAGAGCGAGTTATCGAATCACTGATTCAAATGATCTGGGGTGAGTTTCCCAAACAACGACGTAGCTTGCGGCTGAACTATCAAAGTACGAAGTATCGTTTGGGAAAAGAACGATGTAGTGATGAGTGTTAATAATTCAAATGATCTGGTCAGAGTGAGTCTTCAGTTATGGAATCAATGATTCAAATGATCTGATCAGAGTGAGTCTTCAGTTATTGAGCCAATAATTTAAATAATCTGGTCAAAGTGAGTCTTCAGTTATTGAGTCACTGAATTAAATGATCTGGTCAGAGTGAGTCTTCAGTTATTGAGCCAATAATTTAAATAATCTGGTCAAAGTGAGTCTTCAGTTATTGAGTCACTGAGTTAAATGATCTCGTTAGAGTGAGACTTGAGCTTTTGAGTCACTGAATTAAATGATCTGGTCAGAGTGAGTCTTCAGTAATTGAGTCACTGATTTAAATAATCTGGTCAAAGTGAGTCTTCAGCTGTTGAGTCACTGAATTAAATGATCTGGTCAGAGTGAGTCTTCAGTTATTGAGTCACTGATTCAAATGATCTGGTAGAGTGAGTCTTCAGTTATTAAGATGCATTTTAGGATGTAATATTCTATTTGGGTCATTTTGAGTAAAAGGAGGTCTTTAGTAATATCTATAAGTCTATATCTGTACTTTCACTTGAGTGCTTGATTTGCATGCTCCGTCCCCTAATGAAATAGACAGGATTTCATTTATCCTCTGATAAAAAAAAAAACAATGATTTTCCTCTTCACTCTCTGAAATCCAAGCAGCTGTCCCAGATTTAGACATAAATATATTCTCTCATACACAGCGGAGATGAGTGCTTTCTGAAGACAATGGGGTGAAAAATCCTTCCTCCACTACCTGGCTAAATGGCCCGGTGATGGAAAAATATTGTTACAGGAATGATATTTGAATAATTGAAAAGGGCCTGCTTTAAAATTGCAGGCTTGCCATGATTTCAAGAGCAAAGTTAGAGGCTTCCTCACCGAAATATTCATGCTATTATTTAACAGTGGATATATCAGGAGTAGGGATTCATTCAAAAATGATCAGAGCTCCTGCCTCTCCATTTCACAGAGCGACAACCGGCTTTCGCCACTGCCAAGGAGAGATTCATTTTAATAATGAAGAAGGACATTCACCTTACTATCTGCCCACAGCGTTGTTATAAGTGACATCATAGATCAGGCCGACGAGCCTGTCAAGAGAAGCCTCTCAGCATTGTGATTGCGGCACTTTTTGTTTGTTGCTGACTTATGTAGCACACATCAAAAACAAATTACAATGTGTTTATGAGTGAACGCCATGCACGGCATCTGAGTCATCAGCTCAGCATTGCTCCACTTCTCCAAAGACAGAACTTAATCCTTACTGCTGAACTGGACATGTGCACGCTTGATGGACTTGACATTTGCACTTTGCTTGACTTATGCTGTGTTAACAATGACTTCAAAGTTCATTTTTCTCCTGAATGCACCCATTAGCATGGCCACAGTGCGTTGACATAATTGTTTGGACAATTCGAAAAAGCACTCTTTAAAATAAAGGTTCTGCATGCCCTCAGCCAGTGCGGGGTTCGAGTGGTTCGGAAGAGCCACCCCTCACTGACAATGGTCTAGAATTTGTCCTATACATAGGCTCATTTGTTCTATTTTGAATGCTATGCCAACAAAAATAGTGAAAACATCGAAAAAGGTTTTGAAACCAAGTGGAATCCTCTATTGGCTGTTGCATTGGCGTGACTTCAGCTAATCAGTTTTGGCCAATGCTAACAATTATTAAAATTTTATAATCTGATATAAAAGAAGTCTTCTTTCACTACTGCATTGTTTTTAAATAGAGAAAA